GTAAACCATTTTACCAAGTTGTTTCACAATAACTCCTTTTATCCATTTTTCCCCTCTTGCGTAGTTTCGAGCGAAGACGGGTTGCTTTAGACTAAATTTCATTTTCCGTTTCGAAGCTTCAAGGTGCTTTCTAGGCGATTCAAACAGTTGACTCAACAAGGTACGAACAGGCCTTCCATGTAAAAGTTCTGCAGGTGATTTACCCTCAGCATTCGGCATTGCACGATATGTTGCAAGATATTTTGATACAGCGAATTTGAGAGACAATCCATCGTCAATGTTTTTCTGAACAGCAGTTTTAAAAGATCTGACGAATCGTTCGGCTAACCCGTTTGAGGCTGGATGAAACGGCGCTGTTGTTATATGTTTGATGCCAAGTTTTGAGCAAAACTGTTTGAATGCTTCAGCTGTAAATTGCGGACCATTGTCACTTACGATGGTTTCTGGTATACCTTCCAGAGAAAATATAGAAGACAATGCTGATATGGTGTCAACCGTTGTTGTTGTAGATAGTTGTACAACGAACGGAAATTGTGAGAAAGCGTCGACACAAATTAGCCACATTGAATTACAAAATGGACCAGCAAAGTCGATATGTACTCTCTCCCAAGGTCGATCAGCTTCAGGCCAGCTTACGTATTCACGTGTGTGAACAGGATTTGCAATTTTGCACACATCACAATTTTCAGTTAATTGTGCGATGTCTTTGTCAATATTAGTCCACCAGACATGTTGTCGAGCTAGCTGTTTCATTCTCGATACTCCCCAATGACCATCATGAAGAAGTTTAAGAATTTTCTGCTTAAGGGAGGCTGGAATGACAACCCGGTTGTACTCCGTCTGGAGGCAAAGCAAATTGTTGTTTAGTATTAAAGCAAAGCGATGATTGAAAAATGATCGAAGATCAGCATCTTGAGGCATTAGCTTTTCAGGCCAACCGTTTGTAACGAGAAAATAAACGCGGCGAAGAATTGGGTCATTTTTGGCATGCTGACGAATTATTTCAGCGTCGATAGGTGTGTTAAGTTCATTGATGTTGAAACAGGATTCTTCATGATCAAAAGTTTTATCTTCACCAACAGGTAAACGAGATAAAGCATCGGCATTTCCATGCTCAGTAGTTTTACGATACCGAACATCATACTGATAAGCCATTAGTATAATAGCCCATCGCTGTAAACGATGTGACGTCATCGACGGCAACTGATGAATTGGATTTAAAATGCTAACAAGAGGTTTGTGGTCAGTAACCAAGGTGAATCTTCTTCCGTATAAATATTGATGGAAACGCTTGACTCCAAAAACGATAGCTAGCCCTTCCTTCTCTATCTGACTATATCGTCGTTGATGAATGTCGAGAGTTTTAGATGCAAAAGCAATAGGCCTTTCTGTACCGTCAAAGTACGTATGCGAGAGCACAACTCCTATGCCATAGGAGGAGGCATCTGTAGCTAGAACCAACGGTAAATCTTCCTGATAATGTGCTAATTGCGCTGCATTGAGAATATGCGTTTTAAGAGCTATAAATGCTTGTTGTTGTGCTGTACCCCATGTGAATTTTACATTTTTTCGGCGCAGCATGTTGATTGGCGCGGATAATTGCGAAAAATTAGGTATAAAATTATGGTAATAGTTTACCTTACCCATGAATGCTTCTGCTTGCTTTAGATCTTTAGGCGGCTGCAGGTTTTTTACTGCTTTTAGTCCTGACTCATCTGGCAATATACCTTTTGCACTAATTTGACGCCCGAGATATTCAATTTTATCTCGTAGAAAGAAACATTTTTCTTGCTTGCACCTGATACCATTTTGTTGCAAAATACGAAGTACTTGTTCTAGGCGGCTGATGTGTTGTTGAAATGTAGGTGCGGAGATGATGATGTCATCGAGATAATTTCCACAACCTTCTACGCCTTGAAGTAACTGCTCAAGATATCTTTGGAATATAGCTGGAGCGCTTGCAATCCCAAACGGTAAACGTTGGTATTGGAATAACCCAAGTGGAGTGTTGACAACCATTATTGTTTTTGCTTCATCGTCGAGTTCCATTTGTAAATACGCGTCCTTAAGGTCGATTTTTGTAAAATGTTGACCGCAATTAATTTTATGGAAAAGACAACGCGTATGGGCAAAGGATATTGTTCAATGTCAATTTGCGCATTGACTGCTTGTTTAAAATCCCCACAAATTCTTATGGAACCATCAGCTTTTGGCGCTAGTACAATAGGCGAAACCCATTGGGAAAACTTCACAGGTTTCCAAATACCCGCATTTGTCAATCGATCGACTTCTTTCTTGAAAAGTGACATTTGCGAAAATGGAATTTGTCGGCTTTTGTAAAATTTCGGATGTGTATTTGGCTTTAAAAAAATACTGACCTTAAAGTTTTTTATTGTGCCAAGAGCGGGTTCAAAAATATCACCATATTTCTTACACAGCTCGCTAATTCTGTGTGATTCACTTTCAGTAATGTTACAAATTTGCTGAATATCAAACCCGAATTCTTTGAATAAATCGAAACCGAATAAATTGTTACAGTTTTCGACATCCACGACAACGATTACCACTTCCCTTTCTTTTCCGCCACATTTGATATTTACGCAAAGTTCACCAAGCACTGGAATTTCATTTTTGCCAAAACCAAATAAGGTTTTTGTACATTTTCACAACTTTGGGCAATTTAGAGTTTTGAATGTTCGCTTATTTATTAGAGAAACTGTTGCACCAGAATCCATTTGGACTACACAATTTTATTACAAATTTCCAAGTCAATGTAATTCTTATTGTTTTCAGTTCTTACAATACCTGTTAAACTGTTAATTGTTTCAACAGTACCAATGTTGTGACTTTTACGACGGTAATTTTTCTTCTTGTTTTCATCACCTGAATTACGTTTGTTGTTCTTGTTTTGTTTTGACATGCACACTGGCGCAATATGTCCAATTTTGCTACATCTATTGCATACAGCATTTCTAAATTTACAGTTTTGTCTTGCATCAGAGTTTCCACAGCCAGAACATGATTTGAATTTTACTTTATTATTGTTATTGTTGAAATTGTACCAACTGAATTAACAGGCATTGAGTTTTCGATCGTTTGTTCTTTAATTGTTGCCACCGTTTTAGTGGTTGTTTCATACAATTCTGCAATCTGCAAAACATCAGCAAGTGTCGGCTGGGGCTTTTGGAACGCAGCCGTGCGCACAGCATCGTGCGGTGTACGTATAATAATTTGGTCACGAATCATATCATCCACGAAATTGTGCAAACAATTCTGGGCTGAGCACGAAAAGTTACACTCTCTTGCCAATCCGCGGAGATTGACTCTCTGTATGATTGATGTGGCTTCACTTCCCTTTTGAAAAAATCGTAACGTGCAGCGACCACATGTCGTTTCGACTGGAAATGATCCGTTAGTTTTTCCGTTAAATTTTCGAAAGATTGTTCTTGTACTTTCGTGTTACCGAAAAGATTTTTTAGCAGCTCAAAATTTTCTGTGCCAATCCAAGACAAGAAAAATGATTTTTGTTTTTCATTGCACTGAACTGAATATGCTAAAAAATGTTGGTTGATCTAAGTACGATTCCCAGGTTTGCTGTTTTTTCGAAAATTTGTGAAATACTAGGACAATGTTGTGATTTCTTTCAGATACACCGGCAGTACCTTGTTTTTGGAACATTGAGTCCATCCACTCACGTTGTTGTTTCAGTAAATTTTTTGAGAACTCTTGTTGTTCTTTAAGCAATTGCTTATAAATTTCACTTTCGCCCGGCATGATTGTATTTAAAATTGAACGGTACGAAATAAACGTGAAAGCGATTGAATAATTGCAGATTTTTATCCTCGTCGCCAACTGAAGTAAATACAACCGACACGATTGACAGTTTATATTTAACTAAATTTTGTTTACATTTCATTACTTAAGATTGCTTAAACTAATGCAAAACATAC